GAGTAGGTGGTTATCAGGACCCTTTGTTCTATAGTGCCATGCTTTAAATCACATGTGTTCAAACAGAATGTGCTCTTTGAGTAGTAATTTATAGTGTTTTCTAGTAAATCTTGGATAACTTAGATTTAAATTTGTGATAAAAGATTATTTGATTTCCAGTTATATTTCCTCTAAATCCTGTCTCCCTTATTTCTGTCTTGTCCTTCGTATTGTAATATATTTGCCTCAGTAGATCCTTGAATTTTTAGCTTTAAATCATGTCATAAATCTGGTGTCTGTTTCTTTGCATGCGTCTTGTCAGCCTAGCAACTTAAGGAAACATCATAGAAAGGTAAATTTTCCAGTAAGTGAGCATAGCTTTGTATCTCCCTAATGCATGGAAGAGTATAGTATGTCACACATAAGTGTAATGTTGTCAATATATTGCAATGAATAACTGACTTTTCATTGGAAATGTTTAAACTGACCTGCCACATCACAAGTTACTGTTCTCTTGGCAATCAGCCATCCATGGAACATGGGGACAGATGTCGGTGCTTGCTATGCTCAGAGCTTTTGCCTCTAACCATTGCATGCATGTGTATAATAGACATAGAATTTAGGATTTGAAAGGAGGGAATGATTGAAGCAGAGCCATAGGCTTTAGATTGAGGAAAAACAGTTTTCTCTGATATGGAAGGCTAGAACTTAGTAAGCACTGCTCTCTGCCAGGTGCCAAACTCAGTGCTTGGCCATTTTTTTTTTTTTGCTATATTTAGTCCACAAGCACATCCCTGTGAGAAACCAGTTGCTGTGCTTGCCCCCAATTACAGATGTGGAAACTGAAATTTAGATCACATGATGTGCAGAGCAGGTATAAGTTAAGTCTGTTTTGATTCCAAAACCAGGACCATTTCTCCCTTGGGCCTGGATTTCTCCAGATGCTCTGATCTGCTGACAGTCTCCCTCTCAGAGGAAACCTTGGAAGTAAAAGCGGTGCCCTGGGAGCAGTGGAGAGTGCAGGGCTTTCTTTCTGTCCATCTAGAATCTCCCCCTAATGCCTGCTGCCTCTGGTTCTGCCATGCCTGCTTCATGCTTCCTGCCTTCCTGGTGGTACACTTGTGGGGCAGTGCTGCCACAGGTGCCAAGTGGTGATTGTCCTCAGCAGCTGTGTGTGAGCTTCTCTATGGGGCTGAGCAGAAGGGAAAATTACTAAGGACACGGGTACAGATCCTCACTCTGTTGCTGATTAGTTCCTGGCCTGGGAGCTGTTCCTTGGCCCAATGGAACCATGGCTTGCTCTCTTGTAAGTGAGGTAGTGATCCACACAGTAGTGCTGTTTGGAATGGCCCTGATCTGTGCCTGCCCAAAGTGAGATGCCACGCTTTCACCAGCAGCCGGCCACAGAACTTACCTCTGTTCAATGGACTTCAGTGTGGTTTGGATATTTTGGTTTTGGCAGTAAGAATTTCTCAGCAAAGGAAGCAGTCTGTTGACTTAGACTCAGACACTGTGGCCTCCTCTTGTTCACTAGTCATCTCTCCTCAGCATGCAGCCTGGTGACATACAGGAGACTTGTCCTGGGCTGGCCATGAAAATTATTCTAGCAGTGAGTCTAAGAACAGCAAACATGGGCCAGACAAAGACTGGTATGGGATGGTTACTTCTTCATTTCAGTTTTACTGGGCAGACTAAGGTGACTTCTTGGCACTTGTAGACATGTCTGAGACAAGGCAGTGGCCCCTAGCCTTGTGCTTTCCTCCCACAAGAGAACAGAGGCAGAATGAAGACCTGGTTCAGTGAGCCTGGAAGGCTCTGGGCAGAGCAGGGGCTAGTGTAGGGGAGTCTTGGTGCAAGAATCTCTTTTTGTGGGTGGAGCATACGTATAGTGCCTTACCTCTTCCTTTTTCTTTTATATTTTAACAAATGATTGTTTTAACCTGAAATTTTAAATGATGCCTGGCAAACAACATGGTCTTAAGTTTGATTTTGGGGGCCCTCCCAAAAAGATTTTTGAACTTTTATGATTCTTGTTGGTAATGTCAAACATGATGGCCTTCTTTAGAGATGAGATTGCTGGAGGTTAAACACGGGGCCTTGAACATACTAAGTAAGCATGCTCTGATTACCCCAGCCCACGGCAGTCTTGTTTTGTTACTACAATTAGAAATGAGAGCCAGACAAGGTGGTATATGCCTGTTATCCCAGCACTCAGGAGGCTGATACAGGAGGACTGCTGGAGTTTGAAGCCAGCCTGGGCTACAGTGTGAGTTCATGGCCAGCCAGAACTGTATAATGAAACCTTATCTCAAAAAAGAGAGAGAAAGATACAGAATTTATCTGTTTATCTGTTAAGATTATATCCCATGTGATATATCCTAAGTTAAGATTGTATCCTATATGATTTTAGACTTGCAGCCTCTAGATGTATCAGAAATAATTATCTATTGTTTATTAATCACCCAGCCTATGACTATGGTAGTTTTTTTATAGTACCTGGAAGTGACTACAAGAGGGAAAGTGCTAACCACATAATGCCTCCTCATCTAGATGAGCATGAAACTAGATTCCACAGTGCTTAAAAATAGATAATACTAAGACACGCTTACAGAGATGACTACTCACGGACAGGTGCCTATTTCCCTCAATCACAAATGGGTGGAGACTCTGCCAAAAGTGCCAAAATAAGTGAGCATGATACTTAGAGACAGATTAACATCCATAATAACAGGGACTGGCGGTAAGACCAAGCAGGTATGACAAAAAAAACAACTTGGAATCTAGTAAATGAAACAGACCTTAGCTAGAATGATAGACTCTGTTGTGGACATGGTCAAAGATGGAGCATTGGCAGTAAGTCACCAAAGGTGAGCCAGATTGCAGCAAGAGAGACAAAATGAGAAAAATTCAAGGCCCTCAATTCAGGCAGGCCTAGAGCCAGGTCCGCCTATTGACGTGTATGAATAGAATTGATTAATTTTTGACTTAGAGTAATTAGAGTCTAGTTTTCTTCTACCTGCCCCAGAATCTTTCTGATAAAAGATTCCATTAGAGAGATGGCACACTCTGTCAGGAATGGTACTTATTAGGTGACCTGACAGTCAGCTCTTGCTTATCACCATGGCCGATGCCAGTTAGTACCTCGATCAGGGCCGTGTTGGCATCTACAGGAGAAATCTGTACCACAGGGAAGAGCTCACACTTAGTAAAGAACATGACAGAAGTCTAGATGGCCAGCTGGCCAATACCCTTTCCCCCACTGCTTCGCATCCACAAGTCCCATTCCTGAAGGTTGGCTTTGGGCCTATGAAGATGTCTCAACACTGGCTGGACCTCTATCAGGTTTTAAGACACATTTGGATGATTTTTACCTGGTTGGCAGGGAGGAGCAAGCAGACCCTACGTTAGTGGCCTTGGTGAGGGGGCATTTGAGAGTGAGGAGACAATCCTGCATGGCAGGTCCAGGGAGCAGAGCCTGTGTTGTTGGCCTGGGGAAAGGACCTTACCTTGCTGGCCTGGGGGAGGAAGGGGCCTTCAGTTGGTCTGGATATGAGAACCATGTGTTGCTATTTGGGAAAAAGAAGACTCTACTGGCCTGGGGAGAAGAATTTCTATGTCATTATCCAGGGAGCCACCATGGTTTTGGCATGGTGAAGGGCCCTGTGTTTTTGGCTGGAGCAGTCCGCTGTGCTGAGCTGGGTGGGGGAGGCAAATAGAAGTCCTAATTCAAATACCGTGGACTCCTGGCCTTATTCCTGATATTTCTTGAATAGATAATTTCCTCATTTGCTTTTATCCTTTGAGCCATTTCCAGGAGCTTTGAAGAGTGGTTTTCATCATTTCAGGTCTTCCTGGAGAGTAGGCTGCAAAGCTCCTGCCAGGCTAAGTTTGGCTCACCCACAGTCATGATTTTTGGAGAAGAAAGACTAGTTTAAAAGACATTTTGCTCTTTTCCAGTGCTTTCTGTGGCAGTTTCATCTCTATTTCTCTCTCACTTTACTTGCCCAATCTCACTGTGGCTCACATAGGCACGTGAGTCGTGGTCTGGTTAAAGCAGACTTCATGGGCCTGTGCTTTCTGTGATGAGATTGACTGTGAGCTGCAAACAATTGCTACCAGTGCCCTGTAAGAGCATCACCTGTTTTAAACCAGCTTTCTAGAATTATCTAGCTCAAGCACATGTTCTTTTGAAGGACTGATTATTTATCGGGTAGATCTTTATTCTTGTCTTTTAAAGGAAAAGCACCTGAAGCCAGAAACACTGGCAGATGATTTTACTTATTTCAGAGTTGCTTTGCTCCAAATTCACATCGCTCAATTCAGTTCATTTGTGGTGTCTGTGAACTGGTGTCATAACACAAGGTTTAGCACAGAACAGTGCTGCAGGACTCCTTCAGCTTCTCTCTGCCTTTTGGAAGATCTCCTACACTGCTGCATGCATAGTGTTTTGAGAATGCCTTTACAGAGAATACAAAAGACTTCCTAGTCCTAGCAGTAAGCCCATTCTTCATAGTTGACTTTGCTCCAATGATTCAGGGAGACTATAGGGACTAAGGGAAAATCAGAATAGAGAGGGGACTAGAATTGGATAGTGACCTTCTAGGCCTTTTTTCCTTGATCTCTCTAAGGGCTCTAGGTCTCAGATCTGTGAATGACTTACAAATGTCTTCAGATGCTTCATTTTGGGATGCCAATTGAGGAAAATGCTTTTATTTCCTGAAGTCTAAAGAGGTGGACCTGGACACATTATCCCCTGCTGTGCTTTCAGCAGTGCCAGGGTGGAGGGAAGTCAGATGGCCTGGGTTAGACTCTCATTCCATTGGGAATACCTATGTCACCTTACAGCAAATGGTTGATCTCCATTTCTCTGGAGGAGAATGGGAATCCTTTGCCATGTATCTTGAGATTGGGTTGCCTGTGTGTGTGGACTATGAGGCCAATGGAAGTCTTGCTTAAGAGGTTTTTTTTAAAAATTTATTCATGTATCTGTTGATTTATTCCTTTACTTTGCTGCTTTGCAGGAGTTTTCAACGCTTGCAAAAGAGCTCAACATTTGCAGGGAACAGCTGCTTGAGAGGGAAAAAGAAATTGCCGAACTGAAAGCAGAAAGGAACAACACGAGGGTCAGTGGAGCTCTGGTTTAAATGTTTTGTGCTTTTTCCTTCTGTAGAGTGTGTTCAGTATTAAATGTTGCTTAAAATTTGTGATAGGAGGCAAGGGATGGTGTCATATGCCTTCAATCCCAACATTCCGGAAGCTGAGCCAGGAATGTCTTGAGTTAGAGGTCAGCCTGGGCTAGCTAGTAAGTCCTCAAGCCAGCCTAGACTACAAAATGAGACCTTCTTGTTAATAAAAGAAATTAGTGATGGAAATTCATGACATTCGAATACAATTGAGGGAAACTTACCTAACTCTACTGAACTGTAGGAATTTGAACTTGTTTGACCATGAGATTGTAAAGGATTTGAATGTGAAATTGAAGGTGCTCTTTACACGCCCCCTTTGGCCTGGTTTCAGCTGCTCCTGGAACATCTGGAGTTCCTTGTCTCCAGGCATGAACGCTCTCTTGAGACGACTGTGATGAAGCGGCAGGCGCGGTGTCCTGCAGGTGTGTCCACTGAGATGGAAGTGCTAAAAGCACTGACATCCTTATTTGAGCACCACAAGACCCTGGACGAAAAGGTACATAAGCTACGCTAGTGGTTCTGGGTTCTTACACTTGCTGGGTTCATGGCAGGCTTTGCGTGTGTTTGTTTACCTTTAAGGTTTGTTAAGTTTTTGAGTTCTTATAAACAGACTTTCTGTATTAAAAGGCAATGTTCTGCATAATCAACAAACACTAACTGGAATGTGAGTCTTCAATTGATTACTTCTGAATATTGACTACCCATTAAGAACTGGATAGTGTTCATTTATTTAGGAACAAGAGTTTCCCAGCCTTAATATTTAAAGCCATTAACAAGGACATTTTCTTGACAATACTAGCAATGAAAGACATTGAAAGTACTTTATTTTATGCATTTCATCAATATTAGGATAACTATATGGAAAGTGTGCGTATGCATATAAAAACTCAACTCTCTTCAGGTGCGAGACCAATTACGTGTAGCACTGGAAAGGTGCAGCTTGTTAGAAGAGGAACTGGGCGCCACACACAAGGAGGTAATTGTGGGGCATCATCGTAGCCCTGAAAAGGGGAAATTATTTTATTTTAATCTCTTAAAAAACAGTGTGAAGCCTGTAATACTTTGGGATTAGATTTTTATTTCAGATTGCAAGAATCTCTAAATTTGTTGTCAAGCAGTCAGTACATTCTGTTTCTAGTAATCTGGTTCTGCTATGGATGGTCAGCTTTGGCATGTACTGTCTTTTTTATACTATGTTCAGCACTGTAGAATTATGTTTTTCCAAATGGAATTTTGCTGTCTTTACTCATTACTCTTCCATAAATTATTGTAGTCTCATACTCCGTTTTCGATTGTAGCTAATGACTCTTAAAAAACAGAATAATCAGAAAAAATCACCAAGAGATGGAGTGCTTGACATAAACCACGAACAAGAAGAAACACCAAGCACTAATGGAAAGGTAAGTCCTTGAGCTCTCTCTTTGTTCTGTTGCTGATTTCTTATATTTCGTGGTTCCTGTGTGATGCTGTTTGGATGCTGTTGCTGGAATGGCCTGCATCCAGCTAAAGTGATTGTTGAGAGTCCTATCATCCAACAGATGGCATAAATCCATTTTGATAGTCCCTATGTTCAAAAGTATTTTATTTGGTAGTACACTAAGGTTATTTAAGAGTGTCCATTTTACCCATCAGAGATCTTCTGCTGGCTCCTTAAGCCATGAGGAAGACCTTGCCAAATTAATTGTGCTCCAAGAAGTCATACACAAACATTCAAAAGAGCAGAGTCAGATGAAGGAGCGCCTGGCTGCACTTTCCAGCCATGTGTCAGAGCTGCAAGAAAATCTTGACACAGCAAGAAAGGATCTCATCAAGTCTGAAGAGATGAACAAGAAATTGGAACGAGATGTTCGTGAAATAAGTGATAAAAATTACAGGGTTGTCATAATGTTGAGTGCTTGGAGTGTTAAGGATAATGATTCCTTTTTTTTTTGTCCTTTCCTTGGTCGGTTATTTTCAGCATTTGTACTGTTGAATGAGTATAAATATGAATAATACAACACAGTATTGCTGTCAGATCGTGACATACCGCCTCCCCCTGGTTGAGAAATTTCTCCTTTTCTGTGGTCTTTTAAAAAGGTAGAGGAGAACTTGCCCAGCTTTTCCCACTTAGTTTATGGGAGTTTGTCCTCCGCCCTCATGTGGATTCTTCATCTTTGCAGCTTCTTGGCTGTCATCATGTGTTCTTCTTTATGTTCAGCTTCTCAAGTACATGCACTCCTTAAACAAGGATTTTCAGTACTAGTTGTGCTTTGAGTTCGCTAAAGAGATGTGAGTATTCTCTGGGACTGTGGCAAAGGGAGCATTATCAGGTGTCTTCTAATTTTTTCATATTTTTCCTCAGGCACAGAGGTATGGTATTGAATTTTGGATGTTACATCAGCTCTAATGTGTGAATAGTTTTTGGGTAGTTTAGGCTTTGTGCTTATCTTGCCTATGAGATCTCATTTCATGTGAAATTGTATTTACAACATTCTGCTTTGCACCTGTACTTGTATCTTTGGTTTTATTTCTCTTGCTATACATTTTACTTTTTAGTGGTATTCTTAGCCAGAATATAATCAAATTAAGCAAGTCATTTTAGTGGAATGTTCAGTGTCAGCAGTCTGTTTTGTGACATTTGGATGTATTTATAATTTATACTGTTAACTAACTGAGCAATATTTTTCTTTTCTTTTCCTGTTTTTTTGTGGACATATTGGGTTTGAACCTAGGGTTTCCCACATACTAGGCAAGCACCAAACCACTCACCAAACCATTTTCTTTTCTTTTTTCTTTTCTTTTGGTACTATGAATTGAACTCATGATGTTCTGCTTGACAGGCAAGTGCTATGCCATGGAGCTATATCCCTGACCCTTTTTCTTCTTTTCAAACTTTTATTTTATTTATTAGTGTTTGGTTTTTTGAAGAAAGGATCTTGTGGTGTAATTCAAGCTGGCCTTGAACTCATGGCAGTTCTCCTGCCTCAGCCTCTCACATGCTGGGATTACAGACATGTGGCACCAAGCCTGGCATTGTATTTTCATCTTTTTGACAATCTCATTTATCAGTTGTGTCCTTCTTTCCAGTATTTGTAAAAGAAGTGCAGCAACACATCTGTAATCCCAGCTACTTGTGGACTGAAGTGGGAGGTTTGCCAGTTTAAGGTCAGCCTGGGAAATTTAGGAAGACACTGACTCAAAAAGAGCTGAGTATCCCAAGCATAGTGGGTGAACCCTATCTTTCTAGCTACCCAGGAGACTGAGGCAGACAATCATAAGTTCAAGGGTAGGCTGCCCAATTTAGCAAGACCTTGTTTTGAAATTAAAAGGAAAAAAATATGGGACCATAGCTCAGTGTTAGAGTACCCCTGCCTTCTATTCCCAGTACCACACACAACCACGGAGGAAAACTCTTTCTTCCTGGTTCTCTAATTCAGCATGCTGGCTGACGGTCTGTGTGCTTCCATTGTTGGTTTTGATTTCTTATGCCACCCTTGTGTTTGTTTTATTTTCACCATCTCCAGATTCAATTCTAATCCAGGCCTCAGGTCCCTATCAATTTGTAGTTTGTCCATGAAGCTCCCCTCTCAGCCCCTCCCCATTCTGTGATGGCTCTGCACAGCTAACCAGGCAAGCTCGGGTGAGTCTGAGCTGGATTATGACTAATTAGTGGGGTTTGGTGTTTTTGTCATTAAAAATGTATTTTGCTCAGTAGTGATCAATTATATTTAATATATAATTTGTCAATGTGGTTACAAGCAAGATATAATTGGTTGAATGTTTTTCCTTAGATTGTACAGGATCTGCATGATTCATGAGTGAAGTATTTCCTAGGTTAAAAAATAATCTGGGCTCACTGCAGTGGCACATGCCTGTAATGCCAGCTACTGGGGAAGCTAAGAAGGAGGATTTTAAGTCTGAGGCCAGCATGAGAAGTTTAGCAATGTGCTATGTCAAAATAAAAATATAAACGTGGCTGGCAGTGTAGTTTGTTGAGTGGCCCAGCTGGATTCAACCCTGCATACTGCAGGAGCAAGGGGAGGGGCCACTGCTGAGTGTAAAATTTATGGGAACTTTATACAGACAATACGAATCAGATTTTATTGATTATAATCAGAATTCTAAATCTCATCAACTTATAGGGCATATGCTATAGTCTTTAATGGACTACTTTTTAATTAAAATGCCTCCTATCTAGTACTGTGCTAGCTTTTATTGTTACGTATTTTAGGATGCCTAGCTTTCTTTCTTTCTTTTTTTTCCATTCCATTCCACTCCTTTGTATTCCACAGTATCTCGGATGGAATCTAGGCCTGTGCACTGAGATACACACATGACCCTTTTTTTTTTCAGTATTATTTTTTATTGTGAGACAGGATCGTGCTAAATCACCAAGATGAGCTCAAAATTGGCAGCCTTCCTGCCTCAGCCTACCAGAGTGCTGTGATTTCATGTGTATGCCACTGCACGAGGGATAAATGATATATTTTAGGAAGTTGTAAATCATATTCTAGGTGAAGATTTTACTGCATTGCACAAAAAATGATTAACTAAAAATAAGTTTGTTCAGTTTTTTGTGTTTTTCTGAGACAGGATGACACCATGCAGTTCAGGCTGGCTTTGAACTCATGTAGTGCAGGTTGGCAGTTCTCCAGGCTTAGCTTCACAAATGAGGGGATTACAAGTCTGCACCACCATGCCTGGCTCTTCAGTTTTATAATAGATGTTGCTGTAACATCCTTGTCATCATGGGAATATTAGAGAGTAGGTGGTTATCAGGGCCCTTTGTTCTATACAGTGTCTTGCTTTAAATCGCATGTGTTCAAATAGAATGTGCAGTAATTTGAGTAGTAATTTATAGTGTTTTCTAATAAATCTTGGATAACTTAGATTTAAATTTGTGATAAAAGATTATTTGATTTCCAGTTATATTTTCTCTAAATCCTGTCTCTCTTATTTCTGTCTTGTCCTTCATATTGTAATATATTTGCCTGAGTAGATCCTTGAATTTTTAGCTTTAAATCATGTCATAAATCTGGTGTCTATTTCTTTGCATGCGTCTTGTCAGCCTAGCAACTTAAGGAAACATCATAGAAAGGTAAATTTTCCAGTAAGTGAGCATAGCTTTGTATCTCCCTAATGCATGGAAGAGTATAGGATGTCACACATAAGTGTAATGTTGTCAATATATTGCAATGAATAACTGACTTTTCATTGGAAATGTTTAAACTGACCTGCCACATCACAAGTTACTGTTCTCTTGGCAATCAGCCATCCATGGAACATGGGGACAGATGTCAGTGTTTGCTTCACTCAGTGCTTTTGCCTCTAACCATTGCATGCATGTGTATAATAGACATAGAATTTAGGATTTGAAAGGACGGAATGATTGAAGCAGAGCCATAGGCTTTAGATTGAGGAAAACTAGTTTTTTCTGATATGGAAGGCTAGAACTTAGTAAGCACTGCTCTCTGCCAGGTGCCAAACTCAGTGCTTGGGCATTTTTTTGCTATATTTAGTCCACAAACACATCCCTGTGAGAAACCAGTTGCTGTGCTTGCCCCCAATTACAGATGTGGAAACTGAAATTTAGATCACATGATGTGCAGAGCAGGTAGGAGTTAAGTGTGTTTTGATTTCAAAACCAGGACCATTTCTCCCTTGGGCCTAGATTTGTCAAGATGCTCTGATCTGCTGGGAGTCTCCCTCTCAGAGTAAAACTTGAAAGTAAAAGCAGTACCCTGGGAGCAGTGGGGATTGTGGGGTTTTCTTTCTGTCCATCTAGAAGCTCCCCCTAATGCCTGCTGCCTCTGGCCCTGTGCCATGCCCGCTTCATGCTTCCTGCCTTCCTGGTGGTACACTTGTGGGGCAGTGCTGCCGCAGGTGCCAAGTAGTGATTGTCCTCAGCAGCTGTGTGTGAGCTTCTCTATGTGGCTGAGCAGAAGGGAAATTTACTAAGGACACGGGTACAGATCCTCACTCTGTTGCTGATTAGTTCCTGGCCTGGGAGCTGTTCCTTGGCCCAGAGGAACCATGGCTTGCTCTCTTGTAAGTGAGGTAGTGATCCACACAGTAGTGCTGCTTGGAATGGCCCTGATCTGTGCCTGCCCAAAGTGAGATGCCACGCTTTCACCAGCAGCCGGCCTCAGAGCTTACCTCTGTTCAGTGGACTTCAGTGTGGTTTGGATATTTTGGTTTTGGCAGTAAGAATTTCTCAGCAAAGGAAGCAGTCTGTTGACTTAGACTCAGACACTGTGGCCTCCTCTTGTTCACTAGTCATCTCTCCTCAGCATGCAGCCTGGTGACTTTGAGAAGACTTGCTCTGGGCTGGCTGTGAAGATTAGCCTAGCGGTGAGTCTAAGGACAGCAAACATGGGCCAGACAAAGAGCGATATGGGATGGTTACTTCTTCATTTCAGTTTTACTGGGCAGACTAAGGTGACTTCTTGGCACTTGTAGACATGTCTGAGACAAGGCAGTGGGCCCTAGCCTTGTGCTTTCCTCCCACAAGAGAACAGAGGCAGAATGAAGACCTGGTTCAGTGAGCCTGGAAGGCTCTGGGCAGAGCAGGGGCTAGTGTAGGGGAGTCTTGGTGCAAGAATCTCTTTTTGTGGGTGGAGCATACGTATAGTGCCTTACCTCTTCTTTTTTCTTTTCTATTTTAACAAATGATTATTTTAACGTGAAATTTAAATGATGCCTGGCAAACAATGTCCTAAGTTTGATTTCTTTTTCCCTCTCAAAAAGTTTTTTTGAACTTTTATGATTCATGTTGTTGATTTCAAGCTTGATGGACTTTTTTAGAGATGAGATTGCTGGCGGTTAAACACAGGGCCTCAAACAAGCTAAGTAAGTGAGCTCTGGTTACCCCAGCCCCCGACAGTCTTTTGTTTTGTTACTACAATTAGAAATGAGAGCCAGACAAGGTGATATATGCCTGTAATCCCAGCACTCAGGAGGCTGATAAGGGAGGACTGCTGGAGTTTGAAGCCAGCCTGGGCTATCATGTGAGTTCATGGCCAGCCAGAACTGTATAATGAAACCTTATCTCAAAAAAAAGAGAGAAAGATACAGAATTTATCTGTTTATCTGTTAAGATTATATCCTAGCGGGCTGGAAGTTTAGCTCAGCAGCATAAACGCCTGCCTTGTAAGCAGGCAGTCGTGAGTTCGATCCCCAGCACCAATAAAAAGGAAAAAGACAAAAAAAAATTATATCCTAAATGCTCTCAGCTCACACTAGTCTAGGTGGTCTTCAGTGAGCTGCTACAGGACTATAATGGAATCTGTATCCTTTATACCATTGTACAGATAAATAAATTAACTATTCACCACTTGTTGTTCACCATGAATGTTTCATGAAATCTAGTCCTGCTTCAAAACCCGAAAATAACAACCTTCTAAACAGGGCCTAACCAGACCCTGAAAGAGTTCACATATGCACTATTTCCACAGTCCTGCCTTCCTCAACACATAGGCATACTCATGGGCCATCCCCTAAAAGAAATCCCAGGGTCTGCGTGACCCTCTTTTAATAATATACCCAGGATTATTATTATTTTTTTATTTAAGGAGAAAAAGAAAAAAAAAACAGAAAAAGGATACAAGTGATACAGAATTTCAAAAAAAAAATAAACAGTAGGAAGTCACTAGTTAATAGATTACATACTGTCATCTTAGAAATGGTTGTTCAGATTACAAAATTAAAGCATATAAAGTAGACATTCAAACTGTGAGACTACAAACAATTCTGTTCAATGATCCCACAAAAACTTAGCAATATGGTTATCTATCTTATACACTTAAATATACATGCAATTATATCCTTTAGAGCACTTTCTTTTCCTCTCTTTTTTACTATGACAATTATACATTTTGGGTTTTATTACTCCCACAGTTCTTATTACTTTCTATTTGAAGAGAATAAAATCCAATGTGACATAACAAAACAGAGTCAGTCAAATCAAAAGAATGGATATAGTACATAATATAAAAACGGAAGACAAAGTGATGATCATTGGTTACCATAATGCCTCTTGCTATCTTAAAAAGAATTGCCTATATCATCAGTTATAATAAAACTGAAAACATTAAAGAACAAAACCAATAAAAGCAAAACATTGGAGACATTGCAGGACTTCAAAAAAAAGATAATATGCAAACCTAAAACCCAGGATTATTTTATGAAGCCACATGGAAGTAGGGTTTTAGGCTGCATGCAAATGCTTCTGCTCATAACATTTGGTCCACACAGTGAGAAACAGAAGCCACACACATGCATATTTGGGTCTTCGCTCGTGCTGTCCTTGTCTTGTTTCTTGCTAGAGGTAAAAGTATTGACAGTTTCCCTGAGGCTTCGGCCCCCACTAGTGTTCCTTTGAGTGACATCAGTAACTGAAGATATGTGTCACAGGCTCTTCAGTAATGAGAGTAACTTTGTTAACCTGAAGTAATAAAGTGCAGTGAACAGGCTTCATTTAGGACTTCACTGTCCCTCAGTAACTATCCTCAGAGGTACCTGAGGTTGTACGGAGAACAGAATCTTGAAGGGGGGGGGTGATGCTGTCCCTGGGCTTCCCGGGGCTTCCATGAAGGAAGGCTATAGGTCAACCTGCCCTGCTCTCTCTCTGCTATGTGGTCCATTTCCCCCAGACAAACAGGCCTTCAGGTTGGCATTCAATTAAAATGAGACTTCTCAGGACAGGTAGAAAGTTTAGCTAATAGGTTTTGAGTCAGTTTATGTTATTTAAAGCCTATGTGATGTGTTTTCTTATAATGTACTGTTAGCTGATGTTGTTTTTTCACTCCTCAGTTGCTAGCTTGCAGAGAAGAACGAGATGACAAGACAACGATAAAATGTGAAACTTCCCCTCTCTCCTCTCCGAAGTCCCTTCGGCTAGACAGGCTGCACACAGGGGCGTTGCAAATAGTCAGCCACGAGGACATCAGGGACGTGCAAAAGTAAGGAGCAGTTCTCGTAGGCCACCAGACCCCTGAGAAACCTGCTTGTCTTAGTTTTTAAGAACATCTATTAATCTTGTCCTGTGAGAAAAACCAAGTTTTTAAAGAATTCTCAGCAAGCTCATTTGGTTGTGATTATTTAGACGTTAGACCTAGAATGTGTTCTCCTGTTCTGCGGCTGTAGTGACATCCAGTGGAAAAGGCCATCTGTTTGGGCAAAGTTTAGAAAGAATAGGAATTATTTGAAATTAGCACTTGAGAGAAAAGCTCCATTTCTTCAGATCCCACACACTCACTTCTTTTAAGAACTTTCTTTCTATTCCTGGTGAAGAATTTGCCACATGGATGTGGCAGGTTCTGGATCGTGCTATTCTGTGGACAATCGGTGCCTCTCAGGTACCCTCCCACACTCTGGGTCTTCTAAGCTCTTGAGAGTCCCACATTGTCCCTATCCCTTTAGGAAGCATGTTCCATCAGGAGGCCATGAAGGCTTGGTTACTTATAGACTGTTGTTTTTCACACTTCCTCTTAGAAGCTTTTGTTCCATACCAGGCAGTATGATCAAGCAGGCACATTGGTCTCCACAGTGTCCTGAGAGATAGTACAGCTCTCACTTTGCAGGAGAGCAGGATCCAAGGAACCAGCCTGCAGGAGCTGCTGAGAGGGAAGGTGGAATTCCAGTTCTTCTGGCTTCTGAGACCTTGTTCTCTTTCCTGAGGGCTGAGTGTAAACCTCACTGGCTGAGCAAGGCCCCTGCAGAGGGTGTTCCCTTAGATGTCCAAACCAGGCAGGCTAGAGTACAGGCCTCCTCTGAGCAGGGAGCAACATCAGAATCTTGGCTTTCCAGACATATAGGTCTGTGGAAGCATTACTGGGACCCTGCATTGCTATGCATAGTGTGCTGTGGGTAAGAGACTGGAAAGGATCTTCAGGGAGTTGAAGTAGGAATATTAAAAATGCAGACTGTTTTGGTACATGTGAGTGGACTGTGGAGTTCTAAAGAGGGCATGTGGTAAAAGTCCATTTTCTTTCCTTCAAGATCAAAAAGTGCCCAGGATGGTCCTGTGAGCAATCCCAGTAGCAGTGACAGCAGGCAGGACTCGCCCCACAAAGCCCCAAAGAAGAAGGACATCAAGTCCTCCATTGGTCGTTTGTTTGGCAAACAGGAAAAGGGTCGGCCTGGACAAACTGGCAAAGAATCACCAGGACAAGGTGGGTGGGTTTTCGGCAGCTGTCCTAACTGCTGGGAATGGGAGAACGCGAACTTTGTCCTGTGTGCCTGCCGCAGGTGCGCAGTACCCACGAGGAGTCATGGCTGAGCGTTCTCCAGAAAAGCCCAGTCTGCTTTCTCAGTCTGCCCATGTGTGAACCAAAGGAGAGCAGTGGACATTCATTTGGCTTGAATGAATAACCCTCATAAGTGCTACTTTACACTCTTGAACATTTGTATGTGTTTGCTTGGAAGCTTACCTTTCAGAAATTATTTAGCTCTCTACCTGCAGAACCTTCAACCTATTTGTGAAACATATAACTTTGCCATGTTAATTTACTGTAAATTTGGGGGCTTTTCTGATTTTTTAATAGCTGTTCTTTCTGAAACAGAAACCTCATCTCAGGATGCGTTCCGACTTAGCAAATTGGGAGGAAAGGCTGAAAAAAATCGAAAATTTCAAAAAAAGTAAGCTTTTTGTTATTTCTCCATCTCATGAAACAGGTTTCTGAGTTAACAGTCATTCTTAGCTGATTTTAAGTGTAATTTCTAGCTATGTAAATACATTGTCTTTTGAAAGATGAACCTAAAGCAGTGATAGAGCTTTCAGTGATACAAAGAGCTTGCTGCAGCATGCACGCCATAGGTTTGCCTCCATTGACCTAAAGCCTGTTTTAAGCCATCATGTCTGGAGAACAGAGTACATTTGGAAATTTTGACTGAACTCACACATGTATTCTCAGTCTACCTTTTCAGAGTTGTCTCCCAGGATGATAGAATGGGTAATAGTTAGGCTTGGCCATTTGAGCTCTGGCCGCTGAATCCTGGTTAATTCTCTAGTTAGCTGTGTGTATCTGACAAAGTTACTTAGCTTGTGCTTCAGTTTTCTCAACTGTCAAATGACTGTTACAGTTGTTCATACATCATGTGGTTTTTTTTCAGTTCAATAGAATTATATATGTGCATGTATATGTTTTAAAACATGGACACAGGTCCTAAATATGTTACAATTATAGTCAGGCTTCTGAGACCTTGTTCTCTTTCCTGTTGACTGAGTGCATCCCTCAGTGTCTGAGCAAGGCCCCTGCAGAGGGTGTTCCCTTATGTGTCCAAACCAAGCAGGCTAGAGTACAGGCCTGCTCTGAGCAGGGAGCACATCAGAATCTTGGCTTTCCAGACACTGGTCTGGGGAAGCATTACTGGGACCCTGCATCACAATGAATATTGTATTGTGTGTAAGAGAGTTGAAAAATTCTTTAGGAAGTTGAAGGTAGGAATATTAAAAATGCAAACTGTTCTTGTATGTGTGAATGGACTGTGGAGCTGTGAAGAGGGTGGTAAAAGTCCATTTTCTTTCCTTCAAGCTCAACAGGCTCCCAGGATGGTCCTGTGAGCATTCCCAGCAGCAGTGACAGCAGGGAGGACCCACTCCACAAAGCTCTAAAGAAGAAGAGCATCAAGTCCTCCACTGGTCGTTTGTTTGGCAAAAAGGAAAAGGGTCGGCCTGGACAAACTGGCAAAGAATCACCAAGACAAGGTGGGCCGGTTTTAGGCAGCTGTCCTAACTGCTGGGATTGGGAGAGCATGTGCTTTTTCCTATGTACCTGCCACAGGTGTCCAGTGCCCACAAGGAATCATGGCTGAGCATTCTCCAGACAGCCCAGTCTGCCCACATGTGAACCAGAGCAGAGCAGTGGACATTCATTTGGCGTGAATGAATAACCCTCTTATATGCTAATTTATACGCTTGAACATTTATATGTGTTTGCTCGGAAGCTTACCCTTCAGAAATTATTCAGCTCTCTACCTGCAGAATCTTCTTCCTATTTGTGAAACATATAACTTTGCCATGTTAATTTACTCTAAATTTGGGGAATTTTCTTCTTTTTTGTAGCTGTTGTTTCTGAAGCCAAAAACTCATCTCAGGATGCCTTCCAACCTAGCAAATTGGGAGGAAAGGATGAAAAAAATCGTCAACTTCAAAAACAGTAAGCTTTTTGTTATTTCTCCATCTCATGAAACAGTTTTCTGAGTTAACAGTCATTCTTAGCTGATTTTAAGTGTAATTTCTAGCTATGTAAATACATTGTCTTTTGAAAGATGAACCTAAAGCAGTGATAGAGCTTTCAGTGATACAAAGAGCTTGCTGCAGCATGCACGCCATAGGTTTGCCTCCATTGACCTAAAGCCTGTTTTAAGCCATCATGTCTGGTGAACAGAGGACATTTGGAAATTTTGACTGAACTCACACATGTATTCTCAGTCTACCTTTTCAGAGTTGTCTCCCTAGATGATAGAATGGGTAATAGTTAGGCTTGGCCATTTGAGCTCTGGCCGCTGAATCCTGGTTAATTCTCTAGTTAGCTGTGTGTCTCTGACAAAAGTTACTTATCCTGTGCTTCAGTTTTCTCAACTGTCAAATGGCAGTTACAGTTGTTCATACATCATGTGGCTGTTTTTCAGTTCAATAGAATTATATATGTGCATGTATATGTTTTATAACATGGACACAATTCCTAAATAAGTTACAATTACAGTCAGGCTTCTGAGACCTTGTTTTCTTTCCTGTTGACTGAGTGCATCCCTCAGTGCCTGAGCAAGGCCCCTGCAGAGGGTGTTCCCTTATGTGTCCAAACAAGGCAGGCTAGAGTACAGGCCTGCTCTGAGCAGGGAGCACATCAGAATCTTGGCTTTCCAGACACAGGTCTGTGGAAGCATTACTGGGACCCTGCATCGCAATGCATATTGTACTGTGTGTAAGAGACTCGAAACATTTTTTAGGAAGTTGAAGGTAGGAATATTAAAAAGTCAGACTGTTCTTGTACGTGTGAATGGACTGTGGAGCTGGGAAGAGGGTGGAAAAAATCCATTTTATTTCTTTGAAGCTCAACAGGCTCCCAGGAAGTTCCTGTGAACAATCCCAGTAGCAGTGACAGCAGGCAGGACGCGCTCCACAAAGCCCCAAAGAAGAAGAGGATCTAGTCCTCCACTGGTCGTTTGTTTGGCAAAAAGGAAAAGGGTCCGCCTGGACAAACTGGCAAAGAATCACCAAGACAAGGTGGGCCGGTTTTAGGCAGCTGTCCTAACTGCTGGGATTGGGAGAGCATGAGCTTTTTCCTATGTACCTGCCACAGGTGTCCAGTGCCCACAAGGAATCATGGCTGAGCATTCTCCAGACAGCCCAGTCTGCCCACATGTGAACCAGAGCAGAGCAGTGGACATTCATTTGGCGTGAATGAATAACCCTCTTATATGCTAATTTATACGCTTGAACATTTATATGTGTTTGCTCGGAAGCTTACCCTTCAGAAATTATTCAGCTCTCTACCTGCAGAATCTTCTTCCTATTTGTGAAACATATAACTTTGCCATGTTAATTTACTCTAAATTTGGGGAATCTTCTTCTTTTTTGTAGCTGTTGTTTCTGAAACGGAAAATTCATCTCAGGATGCCTTCCAACTTAGCAAATTGGGAGGAAAGGATGAAAAAAATCATCAACTTCAAAAACAGTAAGCTTTTTGTTATTTCTCCATCTCATGAAACAGTTTTCTGAGTTAACAGTCATTCTTAGCTGAAGTTAAGTGTAATTTCTAGCTATGTAAATACATTGTCTTTTGAAAGATGAACCTAAAGCAGTGATAGAGCTTTCAGTGTTACAAAGAGCTTGCTGCAGCATGCACGCCATAGGTTTGCCTCCATTGACCGAAAACCTGTTTTAAGCCATCATGTCTGGAGAACAGAGGACATTTGGAAACTTTGACTGAACTCACATGTGTATTCTCAGTCTTCCTTTGCAGAGTTGTCTCCCTAGATGATAGAATGGGTAATAGTTAGGCTTGGCCATTTGAGCTCTGGCCACTGAATCCTGGTTAATTCTCTAGTTAGCTGTGTGTCTCTGACCAAGTTATTTAGCTTATGCTTCAGTTTGCTCACTGTCAAATGACTGTTACAGTTGTTCATGCATCGTGTGGCTTTTTCTCAGTTCGATAGAATTATATATGTGCATGTATACATTTTAAAACATGGGCACAAGTCCTAAATAAGCTATAATTAAGGTCACTGTGGTGTCTTCTATTGTTTACACAAGTGGTCCTCCAGAAGCATTTACCGTGATATAATTTTACATTTTTTCTGAGATTGGATCTCTACTTTACAGTGTATTATTGAACTTTAATCCTCTACTAAATCTTAAGGGGCTGAGGAGTGGAGTATAAGTGAGAGCGTACTGGCTTAATATACCATCCCTAGGCCCACATAAAGATAGATTGTGAAAATAATAATTACTGTTCCGAATGATTTTGCATAGGGGAGCACAGGCACCAACATATCAGGGAAGAATGTACACTTCTCTGATGTAGGATTGGTTGTGTAAGCTGACCACACCCAAAACTAGAGTTATAAGTGAACTAGATAGGTTGAGACATTTTCCTAGTGAGATGATTAATAAAATATCAATAAAAAAGCTTTCTGCAACAAAATCAGACAGTATGTAATGTCTAAGAGGTACAATTTGAACTTGACAGTAGGGAAAGTTTGAAAGCCTAAGGTAAGATGGGCACACTGGTCTTGAGAAAAGGTGAAAGTTGGTGGGTTCTTGGATAAATTTGTCTATGGGAAACATCAGGTGTCCACTTCTCAGTGGAGCCAGCACTGTGTGGAACTCAGAGTGCAAAGGCCCTGACACTAGCGTTGCACTCGAATCCCTAGGAACCCTTTCTGCTGGAAAGTTATGAAATCTCACTCATTTTAGTTGTCTTTTCTGAATTCATGACTGCCTTTTTTTTTAAAACTTCTATTGGTATGTGTTTGCAGTACATAATAATCATGTTGGTTCTTGGGAGTTGATACATGTCTGTGACACTTTTCTATTCTTTATTTTCCACCATCCTTGTATTTTGCCAGAATCCCATTCATGCATTTCTCTTATAAACCCTTGTCATGTATACAGATTAAAAATAAGACTATTAAAAAGAAATATATATATATATATAAAATATCTATATCTATATCTATATCTATATATATATATATATCAAACATACCAGACTATACGCCAAAACACATATAAAAGATGGAACACAATTGTACTAAGTCGAAGTATTCCTTTAGATATATTTTCCATGCTGAGTTACAATAACTTTTTTCTTCTATTGTCTGTCTTTTATTTCATAGCTAACTTATATATGAAGTTTTTCATATTATAATGAGTCTTTTGTTTTTTATTTTATTCATTTATTTTTTGAGACAAGAGTCACACTTTGTAATTCAGGATGGACTGAACTCACAGCAGTCCTCCTGATTTAGCTGCCCAAGTGGTGGGATTACAGGCATGTGCCACTGCACTTGACCATAGTAACTGTTTTAAGCAGCTCAACAGTGATGACATGCCATTGCAGGTGAAATTCTGTTATGGAAACATTCTATACAAATACTCAATCTTTGGTGCTCTGTAAATAGAATTTTACAGTTACCATTTAACCACAAAATCTGAACTGTGTAAAAGTCTTTTATAATAATTTAAGCAATGAGCAGTTGGCTTTGTGGAGCTTAATATTAAAGCTAGTCATTTTCCTTCTCGAAACCATGCTAAAGAAATAGTGTTGCCTAGATTTTGCCAGTGTCTTTTATTTCACGTGCTCATTTTAATGTAATAAAAACAACAGCAGCACAGCTTGATCATTCACCCCATTGCCTTCTGAAGTTTATGTTTCATGTAAGAGAAGAAATAATTTTCCTAATATGTTTGGCTATTTTGCTGGGGATGTGGCTCGGTAGTGTAGTGCTCGCTTAGCACGCATTAAGGCCTTAGGTTCAATCCCCAGTACCACAATAAAAGCAAAAAACAGAAAACCAAAATGTTTCCCTGTTGTAAAAATTGACTTTCTAACTCTCAAGAAGTGTGTGTGCACCCTCAGGACAGGCTTTGAATTATTTGCCCAAACACATGATTAAATTGCACACCAGGCATGCATGTTTACAGGTTTGTGTGTGTGCGCACGTGTGTGTGTGTGTGTGTGTGTGTGTGTGTGTGTGTGTGTGTGTGTGGTAGGGAGGGAGATTTCTTGGTAGCAAGGAGATTCAAGTTTATGCTGCTTACTCCAAACATCTGTTGTGGCTGTTGCAAGGTGTCTAAGAATGGGTCTTTGCTCTGTACTTTATAGTTCTATGTGGGATGCATATGTGATTTCTCAACCATAGTAGAAAGTTCATAGGGAAAATTCTAAAGGAGTCATCTGACTATGGTGGGCAGTTTTGTGATATCTGTCAGATAACCTGAATGTAATTGATTTGAAGAAAAAAAGTATTCTGTGAATACAAGGTACAGTTTAATACTTTGAGCATTCTTGTTTTTTTGTTTGTTTGTTTGTTTTTGTTTTTGTTTTTCTGAGACAGGTCTCACTATGCAGTTCAGGCTGGCTTTGAGCTCACTTTGTAGCTCAGGCTGATCTCAAACTCACAATGATCCTCCTGCCTCAGCCTCTCAAGTGCTGGAATTACAGGCATGCACAACCACATCCAGCTACTTTGAGCATTCTTGATGTAATAAAAAACTGTTCTGTGAATACAGAGTACAGTTCAACACTTTGGTCCTTTCTCAGAAATACAGTACTTCTTGTGATGAGCCCTAACTTGGCTGTAGGCCATGCTCCTTGCCGCTGAACCACTAGCCTATCACATTGACTGAAGGAGGGTTCCCAGGACTCAGTGCACATGTTGACCAGCTGAACTCATGCTCTCTGAGAATTACTGGAAGAATTTGATGCTCTGCTGACACTTGAGGTGCTCAGTAGTCAATGCAACTATCAGCATGACTCAAACTGGAGTCCGTTCATCAGCTCATAGAATGCTGTGTGAAGTTTCAAAACATGGATCTCCAACTCACCTTTGTCTTTGTAGTGCTCTCCTTCCGGTTGCGTGGCATTGTGGTGCATTTGCTCTGGGAAGTTGGTTACACATGGAGTCATACTCAGTGGTACTCTGAATCATATAGTGTAGAGTGCTGGTGTTACCAGCTTTGGGTTCTCTGCTAAACTTCCCAAGAGTATATTTCTGTTTGGTGAGAAAAGTTGCTTCCATTCCTCACTTGTCAAAACAACACACTGGTCCCCAGTATTCTTCCTCACAGTGTGACTAGCATGTGAAATGTGAGCCTGAGCTGCAGCCATGAGAAAGGGTCTCCTTAGCCCTTGTACAAGACCCCTGAAGTTGAAAAGTGTCCCATCTCTTGGGAATACAGTCATGTATTTACTATGGAGAGTTAAAGTTCTTGCTATATGTCACTTAGATAATGTTTATTCTGCAGAAACTCGCACAAGCTTCTTGAAATGAAGGGCAGCTTTACCATTGTGCTTTTGCCTACATTATAAAATATATCATAATTCATAGATTACATGACTTTTTTTGTGCCAGGGATCAAACTCACAACCTCACACTTGCCAGGCAGGCCCTTAAGCTGCTGAGCTAAATCCCTGGCCTTCACGTAACTTTTATTTTACGCATTTGTTCCCCAGAGAATTTAGTGTATTTTGGTCTGAGAGACTACGGCTTAGCTGTAGAACACTTTCCTAGTATGCTAAAGCCCTGAGCTCCATCATTAGTATGACGGAATCTAAAATAGCTGCCTCCTCCAACAATATGTATGTATGTATGTATGTATGCATGTATATACATGTTGGTGCTGCAGATCAAACATAGCACCTTGTGAGTGCTGGGCAAGTGCTTTACTAATGAGCTACACTCAGCCCCCAGTCTCTAATTTAAAGGCAGGAATGTTCCCATATCAGTTTGCATTAGAGCAGATATTCTGTGTGTGTGTGTGTGTGTGTGTGTGTGTGTGTGTGTGTGTGTGTGTTGGTTTCTTTTCCTTTCTTTTCCTTTTTTGGTACTGGGGATCAAACTCATGCCCTTGCACTTGCCAGGCAGGTGCTATGCTGCTGAGCTAAATTCCTGGCCTCCTTTTCTTTTTTTAAAAAAGGGTCTCACTGTGTTGTTCAGGTTGGCCTTGAAATCACTGTGTAACCCAGGCTGACTTTCAGCTCATAGCAATTCTCCTGCCTCAGCTTCCAAAGTGTTGGGATTACAGGTATGTACCATCATCCTGGCATTAGAGCAGATATTATAAAAATCAACCCTGGTGTCTAGTGTTTGGTTCTATGGGAGAAACTATAAGCTGAAGCAAAGAAGCTCTGACAATGTCAGGAACAGAACAATCTAGTGCCCAGCCACCTTCTGCAAAGGGCCCCAGCTTGGCCTGCCTCTCACATCAATTGGGATACGATATCTCACAGCCCAGGGAGCAAGCAAATATCAGAAGAAACCAAAGGGGTTTTCTTCTGGAGTTGATGGATATGACACATCAACATCTAGGATTACTGACATATTATTCAGATGCCCTTGGTGGCTATTCAGTGTGGACAGATGATGGACATTCTGCAGAGTATGCCCCCCCCCACTGGTTACTATGTTTTTATTTGCACTTTTTAAATTTTTCCTTTTTTTCCCCCTGGGAGTGGCTCCTTATGTAGTCCAGACTAGCCTTGAACTCATGGTAATCCTCTTGCCTTCATCTCCCACATGCTGGATTATAGATGATGCCACCATACCCAGCTTGATTACCTTGCTTGAAGCTTTGGGGCTCAGAGCTGGAAGAGTTATTATTTGGGAAGTTGAGCAAGAAAAGAATGAATGTTGCTAAAGCTTAAATGTTTGCAGCTTTAGTAGAGGGGAAGGAAATAGGTGGTTCTCCTATTCCAAACTAATCATATGGGTAGACTGATAACCTTACCTAAGTGGATAGTCAGGTAGGTGAGTAAACACTGTGAAGCCGTTTAGTTCTTGGAGGTCACAGATTTGGACAAATGGGTGTCTGTACTAAGTATGTGCAGTAGCAAGCAAAAGAGATTCCACCTCCAGCACTTTGGTGAGGGACGTTGTATCTGTACTGAATACATGCAGATGTTTTTTCTTGTATCTCCTAAAGAGCAAACTACTATTCCCATAGCATTGCCACTGTATTAAGTGTAAGTTATCCAGAGAGGATGCAAAGCATCTATGCAGGGACACATGCAGGTTCTACAAATATGATGTATTTTCTACCAGGGCCCGAGCAGCCATGGCTCTTGGGATCCTTGGGGTAAATTCCCTCATGAAAGCCAAATGCCTCAGTGACTCCACACTGGTCTGACCCACATAACAGGGGATCCAAAAACATGGAAGATTTTATTCACATGAGACTGGCACCTTCACTGTGAAGAGCAGCCCGTCTAACCCTGTGCAGTAACAGCACACACTAGAAAGGGATAAACACAGAGAAACAAAGACACATGAGGGTAGAATGGGCGGGGAGAGCACATGTGAAAGAAGCACTGAGGGAGAAAGTGGTGGGGAGGGAAGGGCAGGTGTCGGTGTCGCTCCCGGCCGGCAGGAAAGACACACGACAAGGTCTGGCAGTGGCTAAGTCTTTCTTTATTTTCCTTCTCTGCACAGTCTGCCCCGGGATTCTTCCCGGCCAAAGCCTCTACCGGTCCGCTCCCCGCGGCTCCTTTCGTGCTTCTTCTCTACAGTCTGTCCCGAAGCCTCTACCGGTCCGCTCTCCGCGGCTCCTTCCGTGCTTCTTCTCTACAGTCTGTCCCGAAGCCTCTACCGGTCCGCTCTCCGCGGCTCCTTCCGTGCTTCTTCTCTACAGTCTGTCCCGAAGCCTCTACCGGTCCGCTCTCCGCGGCTCCTTCCGTGCTTCTTCTCTCGTGGCGGGAGAGGCACTCACTTTTATAGGGTTACAGTGGCCAATCAGTTCAAAGCGCGCGATGCGGGCTGATTGGCTAACATCAGTTGTTGCTAGGCAGACTATCTTACAGGGCGGGTTGTTTACCAAGCAGGAAGCAGGAGATAAGCGCCATCTTAGCACACTCGATGGGAGGGGTAATCTAGCTCAGGCTTTGCTCTTTCCTACAGGCCTCACGTCCGCCAAGTAAGGCGACCGGGCTTGGCCGCGGCTCCCAACAGGCAGGGAGAAAGAAAGAGAAGAAACAAAAGATTAAAACTACTGAGAAACAACATTCAGTCTAAGAGTCTGCTCAGAGAAATGAACCTTAGAAGGAAATGTGAGGTGTGTGTAAGACATAAGGAGCCCCAGCTTCCACAGGAGATGCTGGTGCACATTCTCCAGGAACAGGGAAAACTATGGTCAAAACTTTTAAATCACATGAAGCAAGGCTGCAGCCAGGTAAAATACACATAATGTTCTTATTTCAAGCTCTTCAATAGTTTATTGATTATGGAATCAAAAAGGAAGAATATCTTTACCTTAAAGATAATGCTTAGGAAAGAGTAAACGGGAACTTAATGTGATTTTCTCCCTTGATTTTAAACACTTTCATAAAATGAACCTATAAATACTAAGAAGTATAACAAAAACTATGAGTTCACTTGATTTTTGGCTTATATCAGTATATACAGTGATTCATAGAACCTGGTAAGTAAGTAACAGAAACCTTTAAAACTGAATAGTTACATCCTTAAGATGATTGAATGTTCAAATACGAAGTAGCACGTTTTCAGGTATATTTTATGGTTTTTTTTCCCTTCCTCAACTCCCTTTACCTCCATTAATTATATCATTTAAAAAAAAACTTTTTAAAATTTAAAAGCATATACCATTTTCTGGCTCCACATGAAAAGTTTATTGTTAGAGTGCAGGGTTATAAAAAAGCTAATAAATTAACATACTGTGTTTGATATGGGAGTTGTTCCACCCTGGATTTATTAAAGAACTAAATATATTCTGTACAGACAACTAGTGTATTAAAATGCTTTATCTGTTTAATAATTATTTTAAAACTGGTATTAAAGCATAGTTAATTTTTAATTTTAATCTTAATTTTGGGGGTAAAAGTGGAAGTACTATGTTGTGTCTTTAGTTTACAATATGAATAGGAGACTTTCTGTCATCTATAACCTCAGCAGAAAGTGTGATTATAAAAGTTTACACAAAACCCCAATTCCCCAGACAGACGTGACATGAATGGAGCCAGGAACATATCCTATCAGTCTCTGAAAATATTGTTTTCCCTCTTAAATGATAAGGCAAAAGAGGAAGAAAGCAAAAATATATGAAAAAGAGGACCACTTTGCCTACCTTCAACAAACCTAATGTTATAAAACAACAACAATAATAAATTAGTTGGCCAACAAACAAAACCATTTTTTCCTCTAGTTTCTTTTGAAGTCAAACTCCTTTTACTTTTTTTATTTTTGGAAACCTACCAATGGAGGCTTCCTTGGAAACGGATGAGTTTGGTGGAGTTTCAAAACCCAGAAGATAAACAAGGCAGTTTCCCGCCCTCCCCCACCGGCCCCTGTAAATAACCCCAAGCCACAGTCTGGGCCTCTCTCTGCTCTTCCTGTGCTGGGGTGGGGGCAGGGCACGCTGGGGGACAGAGGGGGCATGGGGGAGTGCGCAGGGCTCATCTCCAGGGAACCAGTCGGGGGTACCAAATGCCACAAGCATGCCTGCACACACAAAATGAGGAACCAGGCAAGGGATCCGTTTAAAATAAGAAAAAAGAAAGAAAGAAAAAGTATCGCTACATCAGCTAAAAATCAGCCCTGCTCTTTCTTGGTTTGATGTTAGGGTTAGGGTTAGGGTTAGATTTAGGGTTACCTTTAGGTTTAGTTTTAGGGTTAGGGTTGGCGATCGTGTTAGGGTTAGTGTTAGGGTTAGGGTTTTGGTTAGGGTTATGTTTTTGTTTAGGGTTAGGGTGAGGTTAGGTTTAGTGTTAGGGTTAGGGATAGAGTAAGGCTTAGGATTAGGGTTAGAAGATAGGTTGAGCATTAGTGTTAGGTTATTGTTAGGGTTTGGGTTAGGGTTAGAGTTTAGTCTTAGCATTAGGTTTAGGGTTAGGGTTACTGTTAGAGTTAGGTTTAGGGATACGTTTATGGTTAGAGTTAGGTTTAGGGTTTTAGTTAGGGTTAGGGTTAGGGTTAGGGTTTTGTTTAGGTGTTAGGTGTTAGGGATAGGTTTAGGGTTAGCCTTCAGGTTACGGTTAGTGTTTTGGTTACTATTAGGTTAGGGTTAGGGTAAGGTTTAGGATTAGGGTTTGGCATTAGTGTTACTGTTAGGCTTAGGTTGAGATTTTAGGTTTAGGTTTAGGGTTAGGGTTAGTTTGAGGTTTAGAGTTAGTGTTAGGGTTAGGAGTAGAAGTTAGGTTTTTGTTAGGCTTATTGTTAGGGTTAGGGTTAAGGGTTAGTGTTAGGGTTAGGGTTAGTGTTAAGGTTAGGGTTAGTGATAGTGTTAGGGTTAGTGTTAGGGTTTAGGGTTTTAGTTAGTGTTAGGGTTAGGGTTAGATTTAGGTTTAAGGTTACGATTAGGTTTACGGTTTACCTTAGGGTTAGGGATAGGTTTAGGTTTTGGATTAGGGTTGGAGGGTAGGTTTAGTGTTAGGGTTAGAGTTTAGTATTATGGTTAGGGCTATGGTTAGGGTTAGGGTTAGGGTTAGGGTTAAAGCTTAGTTTTAGGGTTAGGATTAGGGTTAGGGTTAGGTTTAGGTTTAGGTTTAGGGTTAGGGTAGTTATAGGGTAAGGTTTAGGGTAAGGGTTACGGTTATTGTTAGGGTTAGGTTTAGGGTTAGAGTTTAGTGTTAGGGTTAGGGTTAGGGTTAGGCTTAGGGTAGGAGTTAGGGTTAGGTTTAGGGATCGGGTTAGGTTTAGGGTTAGTGTTACGGTTAGGGTTAGTGATAATGTTAGATTTAAGTTTAGGGTTTAGGGTTACGGTAAGGTTTAGGGTTAGGTTTAGGTTTAGGGTTAGGGTTAGAGTTAGGGTTAGGGTTAGGTTTAAGGTCAGGGTTAGTGATTCGGTTAGGGTTAGTTTAAGGGTAAGATTTAGGGTTCGGGTTAGATGTTAAGTTTAGGGTTAGGGTTAGTTTTAGGTTTAGGTTTAGAGGTTAGTGTTAGTGTTAGGGTTAGAGTTAGGGTTAGAGTTACGGTTTGAGATTAGTGTTAAGTTTAGCGTTAGGGTTAGTATTAGGGTTAGGGTTATGGTTAGAGGTTAGCGTTAGATTTAGGGTTAGCATTTGAGATAGGGTTAGGGTTAGGTTTAGAAGTTAGTGTAAGTGTTAGGGTTAGGGTTAAAGCTTAGGTTTAGGGTTAGGATTAGGGTTTTGTTTAGGATTAGTGTTAGGGTTAGGGTTAGGTTTAGGTTTAGGGTTAGGGGTTAGGGTTAGGGTTAGGCTTAGGGTCAGGGTTAAAACTTAGATTTAGTGTTAGGGTCAGGGTTAGGGTTAGGCTTAGAAGTTAGTTTTAGGGTTAGGGTTAGGGTTAGTGTTAGGAGTTAGGTGTTATGGAGAGGGTTAGGTTTAGCCTTAAAGTAATGCTTAGGGTTAGTGTTACGGTTAGGTTTAGTGTTAGTGTTACTGTTAGAGTTAGTTTTTGGGTTTGTTTTAGGTTTAGGGTTTAGGGATAGTGTTAGCGTTACGGTTAGGGTTAGGATTAGGTGTAGGTTTAGGGTTAGGTTTAGGGTTAGGGTTAAAAGTTAGTTTTAGGGTTAGGGTTAGGGTTAGGCTTAGGTTTAGGGTTAGAGGTTAGGGTTTGCATTAGAGTTAGGGTTAGGGTTACGGTTCGCGTTTAAGGTTAGGGTTCGCGTTAGGGTTAGGTTTAGGGTTAGGGTTATGGGTAGGGTTAGAGGTTAGCATTAGATTTTTGGTTATGGTTATGGTTAGGGTTAGGGTTAGACTTTAAGCTTAGGTTTAACATTAGAATTATGGTTAGGGTTAAGGTTAGGGTTAGGGTTAGGGTTAGTTTTAGGGTTGGGGTTAGGTTTAGTGTTACTGTTAAAGTTATGCTTAATGTTAGGATTGGGTTTGGGGTTAGGGTTAGGGTTAGGGTTAGTGTTAGGGTTAGGTTTAGTGTTAGGGATAGGGTTACGTTTAGTGTTAGGGTTAGGGTCAGAGGTATGTGTTAGGGTTAGGGGTAGGGTTAGTGTAAGGGTTGGGTTTAGGGTTAGTTTTAGGATTAAGGTTAGGTTTAGAGGTTAGTTTTAGGGGTAGGGTTAGTTTTAGGGTTAGGTTTAGACAGGGTTAGGGTTAGGGTAGGGTTAGGGTTTGGATTGGGTTTGGGTTAGGGTTCGTGTTAGGGTTAGGGTTAGGGTTAGGGTTTGTCTTTAGGGTTTAGGATTAGGATTAGGTTTAGGGTTAGGGTTAGAGGTTAGGGTTCGGGTTAGGATTAGGTTTAGGGCTAGTGTTAGGGTTAGAGGTTAGGGTTAGGGTTAGCGTTAGGGTTAGGGCTAGAGGTTAGGGTTAGGTTTAGAATTAGGGTTAGGGTTAGGGTTAGGATTAGGGCTATGGGATAGGTGTTAGGGATAGGGTTAGGGTTAGGCTTCGGATTACAGTTAGGGTTAGGGTTACGATTAGGTTTAGGGTTAGAGTTAGGGTTAGGGTTAGGGTTAGTGTTAGTGTTAGGGTTAGGGTTAATGTTACGGTTGGGGTTAGGGTTAGGTTTAGAGTTAGGTTTAGCGGATAATTGTTAGGGACAGGGTTAGGGTTAGGCTTAGGTTTACGGTTAGGGTTAGGGTTAGGATTATCTTTAGTGATAGTGTTAGGTTTAGAGCTAGTGTTAGAGGTAGTTTTGTGTTAGTGTTTAGGGTTAGGGTTAGGGTTAGTTTTAGGGTTAGGGTTAGGGTTAGAATTTATGTTTAGATTTAGTGTTAGGGTTAGGTTTAGGGTTAGGGTCAGGTTAGGGTTAGGTTTAGTGTTAGACGTTAGGGTTAAGGTTAGAGTTTGGGTTAGGATTAGAGTTTAGGGTTAGGGTTAGAGTTAGTGTTCAGCTTACTGTTCGAGTTTAGGTTTAGGGTTAGCGTTAGGGTTAGGGTTAAGGTTCGCGTTATGGTTAGAGGTTAGCATTAGATTTTGGGTTACTGTTAGGGTTAGTTTTAGGGTTAGGATAGGGTTAGGGTTAGGGATAGGGTTAGGGTTAGGCTTAGTGGTAGAGTTAGTGTTAGGGTTAGAGTTAGGGATATTTTTAGGGTTAGGTTTTAGGTTTGCAGTTAGGGCTAGCATTATGGTTTGGTCTAGGTTTAGTTTTAGGGTTAGGGTTAGGGTTAAGGGTTAGGGTTAGGGTTAGGGTTAGGGTAAGGGGTAGGATTAGGGTTAGAGGATAGGTTTAGGTTTAGGGTTAGGGTTAGTGTTATGGTTAGATTAAGGTTAGGGTTAAGGTTAGGGTTAGTGTTCGTTTTGGATTAAAGTTAGGGTTAGATTTTAGGTTATGTTTAGGCTTAGGGTTGTGGTTAGGGTTAATGTTAGAATTTAGTGTTGTTGTTAGTGTTCAGGTATGGGTTAGGGTTAGTGTTAGGGTTAGGGTTAGGGTTAGGGTTAGGCTTAGAGGTATGTGATAGCCTTAGGGGTAGGGTTAGTGTTAGGGTTAGGTTTAGGGTTAGGTGTGGGGTTTATGGTTAGTGTTAGGGTTAGGGTTAGTTTTAGGATTAAAGGTTAGGGTTAGAGGTTAGTTTAAGGGTTAGTGTTAGGGTTAGGTTTAGACAGGGTTAGGGTTAGTGTATGGTTAGGGTTAGGATTGGGTTTCGGTTAGGGTTTGGGTTAGTGTTAGGGTTAGGGTTAGGTTTAGGATTAGGGTTTGGTGTTAGGGTTTAGGACTAGGGTTAGGGTTAGGGTTAGGGTTTGGGTTACGGTCAGGATTAGTGTTATGGTTAGGGTTAGTGTTCGGGTTAGGCTTAGGGTTAGGGGATAGGTGTTAGGAATAGGGTTAGGGTTAGGTTTCCGATTACAATTAGGGTTAGTGTTACGATTAGGTTAGGGTGAGCGTAAGGGTTAGGTTTAGGCTTAGTTTTAGGATTAGGGTTAGTTTTAGCATTAGGTTTAGGGTTAAGGTTAGGGTTAGGATTAGGGTTGGGGTTAGGGGTTAGGGATAGGTTAGGTTTAGGGTTAGTGTTAGCATTATGGTTATGTTTTGGGTTCGGGTTAGGTTTAGTTTTAGGATTAAGCTTAGGGTTAAGGTTAGTTTAAGGGTTAGGCTTAGGGTTAGATTTAGGGTTAGACAGGGTTAGGGTTAGGGTTAAGATTTGGATTGGGATTAGGGTTAGGGTTAGTGTTAGGGTTAGGATTAGGGTTTGGCATTGGGGGTTAGGGTTAGGGGATAGGGTTAGATTGTTAGGGTTAGGGTTAGAGTTCGGGTAAGAAGTTAGGGTTACGGT